TACAATAAATAAAATATTTATGCAGCTCCACTCCTGTCTTCAAAGGAGTGGAGCTGCACGTCTTAATTCAACTCAATTCATTTTTTCATAAAGCTCTAAATCACAACTGCAGTCGTCTTGAAGGACTTCACAAAGTTGTTGATTGACCAACAACAGATCAGAAAATCAAACATTTCAGACACAGGAAATGAAATAACAACAAACACCAACGATTACGTTTACCAAAGAAAGTTTACGGTTACTTTGGAGTTTGATCATTCTCTGTGCAGAGATTTTTTCCCGAGGCCAACACCACATGGTCTCAGCTTTAAAAAGAGATTTAGTTAGATTTTTTACAAATATTTCTATCTTTTTCTTTCATAATAGGTCAATGGTTGAATCTGATTGTGTGAGCAGCACATGTTGAAATCTCACAGAACTAATAGTCCTCCCAAAATCAACAAATTTTTCTAAAGTCTCTGATGTGAGTTGGAGAGGTCTTGTGGTTTTGGCAGAATGTCGTAGTATTAAAACATTGTGCAGAGTCTTTGCTGAGAGGGAAAACAGCCACACATTTATTTATTGGGCGAGTAAATAAATCGGGAATAAATCAAGTGAATCACAGCAATAGGTGTTTGCAAAGGCGTAATCAGGGTTTGGACCGGTCTCTCTCCAGCTCCCTCCTCTGTCCTTCGCTCCGTGTCTCTGGCCATAATCTGCAACACTGGAGTCGGCTTGAACTGAGCCGAGAAGCAGTGGACAACACACAAAACACAAAGTCTCTCTGCCATTAGCTCCTCCCCCCCTCCTCCTCCTCCTCCCCCTCCTCTGTGAAGACACTTGGTCATGTATGTAACTGTTAATGTCACATAATACAACAATGTGGAACCTTTGTTTGTCTGTGCGATGTGTGTTTAAATGTTTGTTGACATTATTGGACAGTGATTGTGGCGACAGTGCCTCAGTTGGTAGAGCGCTGACCTTTCGGCCTGAAGGTCGTGGGTTCGATTCCCCCACAAGACCTACTCCAACTGCTCTCATTCATGTCTGCTGTCATTGTGTCCTTGGGCATGACACTTAACCCCACGTTGCCCGAAGCCTGTTGAAAGACCAAGGCTGTGACACCGTTGATGGAGCAGCAGCCAGCTTCCCGTATAGACTCACCACCTGCATCATGATCAGCGAGGGACTGGTGCTATGAACATTGGGTGGCAGCTCCCATTGTCAGCCCCCCGACCCAGAAATGGACTAAATAAAGGGGTAGAAAATGAAAGAATGGACAGTGGTCATCCTGCTCCCATGAACCAATGGCTCCTATGTGTTTGTGTGTTTCCCGTGTTAGAAACATTTCATTCTCTAATCTGTTGTTGGTGAATGGACAACTTTTGTATCGTCCTCTGAGATGTCTGTTGTAGCAATTTAAGGTGATAAAAAACGAAATTGAATTGAAATGTTGACAGGCACAGACTACAGCAGATTAAATAAATAAACATTGCTTACTTACTACTTACTTACAGATTACCAAATCACATTTTGACTTGTATATGAATTGTATAGAAATTAAGAAAATGTCACTACTACTTATCACTTGTAATGAGACACACAAAAAGGTTAAAACTGCTATATCATTGGCAAATCCTTCACCGTCCAGAGTTATGTCTCTAGAGAAGGAAAAAAGTAACAATGATAATATCTGGTGGTAATTTATGTGTTCAGACTTTATTCTGTGCTGCTTCTGAAACAAGCAGATGGGTGGTTCATAGAAAAAAAAAACATTTATCTTTGAATAACAAACGTTTTGCATTCGTCCAACTTTTCCATATGTGTGTGTGGGAGTACACCTACTCACGTCCTGTAGAACGCACACAGATGACTGTAAACAAGTGTTGATGTTGTTGTGCAGATGTGCCACTCCAATCCATGCACTGATTATGGATTATTGGGTTTAGTCGCAGATTCGTAAAAGTATGGTGGCTTTACAAACTTTTTCTAGTGACATCTTACTATGCGTCGGTAGGTAATCATTTATATCAAACGTAAAGATCATACAGAATAAAACTATATACAGTGCCTTGCAAAAGTATTCGGCCCCCTTGAACCTTTCAACATTTCGCCACATTTCAGGCTTCAAACATAAAGATATAAAAATTACATTTTTTGTCAAGAATCAACAACAAGTAAGACACAATCGTGAAGTGGAACAAAATTTATTGGATAATTTAAACTTTTTTAACAAATAAAAAACTGAAAAGTGGGGCGTGCAATATTATTCGGCCCCCTTGCGCTAATAATTTGTAGCGCCACCTTTTGCTGCACTTACAGCTGCAAGTCGCTTGGGGTATGTCTCTATCAGTTTTGCACATCGAGAGACTGGAATTCTTGCCCATTCTTCCTTGCAAAACAGCTTGAGCTCAGTGAGGTTGGATGGAGAGCGTTTGTGAACAGCAGTCTTCAGCTCTTTCCAGAGATTCTCGATTGGATTCAGGTCTGGACTTTGACTTGGCCATTCTAACACCTGGATACGTTTATTTGTGAACCATTCCATTGTAGATTTGGCTTTATGTTTTGGATCATTGTCCTGTTGAAAGTTAAATCTCCGTCCCAGTCTCAGGTCTTTTGCAGACTCCAACAGGTTTTCTTCCAGAATGGTCCTGTATTTGGCTCCTTCCATCTTTCCATCAATTCTAGCCATCTTCCCTGTCCCTGCTGAAGAAAAGCAGGCCCAAACCATGATGCTGCCACCACCATGTTTGACAGTGGGGATGGTGTGTTCAGGGTGATGAGCTGTGTTGCTTTTACGCCAAACATATCATTTTGCATTGTGGCCAAAAAGTTCGATTTTGGTTTCATCTGACCAGAGCACCTTCTTCCACATGTTTGGTGTGTCTCCCAGGTGGCTTGTGACAAACTTTAAACGAGACTTTTTATGGATATCTTTGAGAAATGGATTTCTTCTTGCCACTTTTCCATAAAGGCCAGATTTGTGCAGTGCACGACTGATTGTTGTCCTATGGACAGACTCTCCCACCTCAGCTGTAGTTATCTGCAGTTCATCCAGAGTGATCATGGGCCTCTTGGCTGCATCTCTGATCAGTCTTCTCCTTGTTTGAGATGAAAGTTTGGAGGGACGGCCGGGTCTTGGTAGATTTGCAGTGGTCTGATACTCCTTCCATTTCAATATAATTGCTTGCACAGTGCTCCTTGAGATGTTTAAAGCTTGGGAAATCTTTTTGTATCCAAATCCGGCTTTAAACTTCTCCACAACAGTATCTCGGACCTGCCTGGTGTGTTCCTTTGTCTTCATGGTTCTCTCTGCGCTTTAAACAGAACCCTGAGACTATCAAAGAGCAGGTGCATTTATACGGAGACTTGATTACACACAGGAGCATTCTATTTATCATCATCAGTCATTTAGGACAACATTGGATCATTCAAAGATCCTCACTGAACTTCTGGACTGAGTTTGCTGCACTGAAAGTAAAGGGGCCAAATAATATTGCACGCCCCACTTTTCAGTTTTTTATTTGTTAAAAAAGTTAAAATTATCCAATACATTTTGTTCCACTTCACGATTGTGTCCCACTTGTTTTTGATCCATGACAAAAAATTTAAATGTTATATATTTATGTTTGAAGCCTGAAATGTGGCGAAATGTTGAAAGGTTCATGGGGGCCGAATACTTTCGCAAGGCACTGTATATTCAAGATGCGGAATTAGTTTGAAAAGGTGTTGGACAAAGAAACATATATTTGGCTCCAACCCCGCCTTACTTCAATATACTGAAGTCAATATAACACCAAACAGGACACAAACGCACACATACACGCCCGCACACACACACACAAAAACACTCTCTGACCATACAGCTCCATCCCATTGCTGCACCGTTCAATGTCCACCTATCCATTGAACTTTATAATGATTTCTTAATGGATGCCTTTTTTCATTGTCGTGGTCATACTTGCATGTGAAAGCCAGATTCCATCAGACCTCTGAAGCTGTGCAGGGATGGGCCTGGTTTGTGCTGTGATGGGAGACCTCTGGGAACACCATGTGCCACAGTGGGGCGGCTACAGCTGTAAAGTGCCAAACTGTCATTGTGTCCTCAGGCAAGACGCTACACCCACATTGCCTAGAATGAGTCTTGTGTGTGGTTGGAGGGGCCAATGGTACATACTTGTTGCCCCTCTTATGTCAGTGTGCCTCAGGGCAGCTGTGGTTACACTAGGAGTTTATCACCACCGTGTTTGGAGTGAAAGAATGTTGAGCGTGTCCTGAAAAGCGCTGTGTAAAACCAATGCATTATTGTTATTAAATATTATTATCTATTATTCTTTTATAACTTGTTTTCACCAAATGCCAAAGCAAATTCATTGTTAGTGACTTAGTTTTACGTACAACGGTCATACAAATCATTCTGATGACTTTACTGATTCATCTTCAGTACTTCTGATTTTAAACTGAATCATATTTGAACATGTTGTAATCCGTCTCTTATTTAACTCCAAAGATAGATCAGTTTGTATGTATTCTGACAGTTATAGAGCTTGTAGCCTTGTAGCCTGCACCATGGGAAAAGTTAGCATACAAAGTAACGCAAGCTAGATAATTTGAGGATTCATACAAATGACATAGGAAAGGGAAATGGGATCTCCATGTTGTGGGAATGTTATGGGAGCAGAGAGAGAATCCTCAAAGCCACAAACGTCTCGCACAAACACAAGTGCCCTTAAGCAACTACTCGTGCATCTAAACAGTGTGACACAGAGAAAAATCAAGGCTCAAATCTCACGCTGCAAAAATCCACTCTGTATTTCTGTGTTTACTGATGAAAACGTGAAGCCTCCAATGAAAACAAACCGCAGCCTGTAGATATTTACATGTGATGTCCATAAAAAACAAAAAGTGGGTTTGATTGTGCTGGACCGTCATGGGACCTCCCTGGTGCGTGTTTGACAGCCAACAGCAAACATCCCCAAACCGTGATCGATCTTCCCTTTGAATCTGTCCGCCCTGCAGCCATGTGGTTTTGGAGGTTCGGAAAATCCTCCACGAAAGTCGAGCCCTCCCATCTCGCCTCCCCTGAGCTCTGCAGTGTCCTGTTGGGTGGCTGTTCCCATGTTCTGTGTGCTGGAATGCTGTGGATACAACATGGTTTCTCTCTGATCCGAGCAGGACCTCTCTAATTTGGGCATCCACTGCTGCCACTTCCCCTGACCAGAAACCATTTAAAGAGAAGGACTGGCATTCCCCTTTTTTCCTATGGGATTTTGTGGGCCCTTGTTTGGTTTCGCTGTCTTCTTCATACAAGGCAGTTTATGAAAAGAAAATACATAAAAAGATTCACAATAATGATTATTATTATCTCTAAATGTACAGTATACATCTATTTGAGTTTTAAGATTATCTGATTTTTCTCATTGATTTAAAACTTTGTTGATCCTCCTACTTGATGCAAAATTGCAAATGTAAATGTGCACTTCAAGGACATAGGGAATTTCATCCTCTGCATTTGACCCATCCTGATGCCACTAGGGCTTACGTCAGGGGCAGTGGTTGCCGTAGTAACAGTGCCCGGGAACCCATCTCCAGATGATGATGCTCGGCTTGGTCAGGACCAGAGCTGGAGGATTTTACCTATTGTGCATATTTTTAGTGGTAGGGGAAACCGGCGCACCCGGAGGAAGCAGACACGAGGAGAACATGCAAACTTCACTCAGAAAGCCCCTGTTCTGACCGGGATTCGAACCCAGTACCTTCTTGCAATATGAATAGTTATTCTATAGGGTTTCAAACTATGGACTGTGGTTCAGTGTTTTCAAAGATGAAGCCGACAATGATCTGTTTAAAAATAATCTTCCTGAAGGAAAAAACACGTTTTATATCATTTGAATATGTGGACAGGACAGTGTGTATTAATGAACAGCAGGAGCAGTAAAAACACCAGATTGTAGCTTTGTAGTACATTTCCATTTGTATTCCCACTCAAAAACACACATTCATTCAACCCTCACCTATATTGTACGTTTTTAGTGGTAGGAAAACCTACGCAGACATGGGGAGAACATGCAAACTCCACAAAGAATGGCCGTGTCTGGGGGGGGACCTTCTCGTAAGGCCACCAGGGTCCAGGTGACAACTTCTAACTTCTACTACAACTAATCTCTCTTTAAAGCTGCACTACCTAACTTGCTTTTTCTTCATAAATAATACATGTTCCAACAGAAGCTGACTGGCTGAAGTAGGGATGGCCAAACAGAGGCCAAACATACATGCATGGGAAAACTAGTTTTAAAACCACATTTTTTGTAGTGATAGTTAAATTGTAGTTCAATTTTTTCATAGGATGGTTTTCAATCTTGTCCTGTATTCCTCAATCATAATAATATGCATATAGACATTTTAGCACTTTTCTGAATCCTGAAAGATACTCCAAAAAATCAATACGAATACAGACAAATAAGCACAGGCAATACCACAGCCTTGTGTTCTTATCGGCTAGCAACCTTTTCTGGGGCTGCAGTGGCTCAGTTGGTAGAGCATCAGCCTTTTAGCCCGAAGGTCGAGGGTTCGAGCCCTCCACGAGATCTTCTCCGCCAACTCCCACTGATGTCTGCTGTTGTTGTGTCCTTGGGCAAGACACTTTACCCGCTTTGCCTAGAAGGAGCGCGCAAGTGACCTTCTTCTTCTTCTCTTCTGTACTCAAGCTAATGTTTGTTACTAACATGCAGTACTGCAGGTAAAATGAGTCAAAACAAATCCCAAATCTTGAAAAAAAATTCCTGGAATTCACTCAATTTTAAGTTTGACAAGATATTTCCGTCACACATGGCCTGTCAAAACTACTCTCAAGTATTGTTTAAAGCTGACGTGTCTCTCTGCGCATGTATAATTACTTTCACATTCATATCAAGTGCCATTCATCACAAAAATAATTCCCTATTCAGCTCCCGATGTTGTTTAAATGATACATAAAAGAAACGTGCCAAAGCTTTGATGTATTTTACGTCTTCCCCCCTGGCTTGTTTACCTTTGTGTCCTCTCTGAAGTCATTCCTGCTCTTAATTATTGTCCGTCATGTTTTTAAAAACCGTGGGCTTGAAAAAGGTACACAAACAAACACACACACACGAAAGTCCTCAATGCCACAACTGGGAGCAGGTTGTTCCTCGAGCCCGATGACAGACCACCCACCTGCTCCCGGTCCCATTCATGTCAGCGCAGCAGCAGTGGGAGGGTGGCTAATGGGATTTTACTATCAACGCCTCAGTGCTGCTCTCCGCCTCCTCCGCAGAAGCCGCAGAAGCCGCAGAAGCCGCAGCAGCCGCGGTGTGTAGGCTCCAGACAAAGTGAAAGGCACACAACACCTGTCAGAACGCAACAACGGCACGAGCAGAGATGAAAAGGAGGCGGGAGGAACCGGACAGCTGTGCGGGAAAAAGGCGGAGAAAAAAAAAAACCTGCTCGTTCGACTATACGAGTGGTTGAATAGGTGTCATGTGGGTTAAAGCTGAGGGGCATCGAGAACTTTCAGACCACGAGTAAGGTCTGTGTTTCTATTCGCTCGCAAAACAGTTTGGTTTAATCATCACTGCTTTTCACATGATTGTATTTTTGCCTTTTGTCTCATCTTTAGATCAACTTCAGACTGGTGCTAACGGAGGTGTTTAGCCAGTGATACTAATTACTCGATTAAGACCAACATCAAGCACCAAGTGGAAGGTAGTTCCCTACGCCTCGCCAGGAAACACTTTGAGATTCCACCGGATGAGCTGGATGAGGGATATGGAATCATGTACATTGGATAAAGTAGAAAAAAGAAAACGGATGTTGGATGAAATATTCTGTTTTATTTTATTTTTGTCATTTTGTTTCTTTTGATGTTATTGTGCATCAAATGACTATGCTGTAGCCTGTATATAGAGGACCCCCACGAAAACGAGATGATGCATCTCATGGGGTTATTCCTCTTTAAATAAATGTCTAAATAAATAAATAAATAGTGAATAGTGATAAAAATGGGATGGGCTTCAATTGAATATTTTTTTTTTAGAATCAAACAATGTATTTAATATTTTACCAAGCAGGACTTTATACAAAGACAGTGTGGTGCAGTGTGAAAACCCAGACTGTTTAGTTTTATCGGGCAGATGATGCTCCAGGCCTCCAGCTTCATCAAGGTCATCTCCCGCCTTCTCACATCCGACTGTAGTTTTAGAAAGAGCCTGAAGATGGCTGCAGTCAGAGCAGAAGAACAAATGGAGGATGTGGTGCAGAGCTGTCACTTGTGGAGTCAGCCGCCGCACAGACAGCCTCTGAATGGCGACTAATCATTTCAAGGTGTAACAAAGAATGGAGCAGAGCAGTGTGGAAATGAGGCCCTCATTACTGCATCTCATCAGAATGTCTGCACCTGACTCTGTCTCATGTGCAGCTCTGCGCTCTGCGATGGCGCTCTCTTCTCCGTCTTTCAAACTATTGTCTGGAAGTTCACACTTTGAGTTTGGTGCAGTGCGACATATTTGGTCTTTTTGGCTCTTTGGTCTCTGTGTGCTGCCCCACATCACACATCCACAGGCCTTTTGTCTCTTTGCCCCAAAGACAGTGGTCTTGTCAGGCAGATTAATAATTACAGAGTACACAACATCGGGAAAACAATTTCCACATCTTTGATGTCACACATAAGAGAAACCAAAATTACAAAGAAACATGACGCTGAGAAAAGGTCTTGAAAGCTGTCCTTTGTGCGTTTGCTGCGTGCAGTGCTTCCTGTTGTTGTTTCTTCACATTCACAACATTAAAGAGTTTAAAGCAGAGGGCGTCTGCCCCCGGAGCCTCGTATTTACCAAGCAGCAGTGTCAGAGATGAGACAGCTATATATATTGTGTTTCCATGTTTGACATGAGCGCAGGACATCAGTGCACTGTGGCCTGTGTGTGTCTGTGTGTGTCTGTGTGTGTCTGTAGCATCAGGACGGAGCTGTCAGCTCTGAGTTATGCTCCTGCTCTAATTGAAAGGTTCAGGCTGAACTAAAGTGGCTCCAACAGAGAAAGCCGCGGCTCGTTGGAATGAGGATTCACAGTCTGCTCTGTACTTTTCTAAACCAACACTGCTTTTGTCCTGTAGAAACATAGAGGTCAGACAGGAATGAAACATGTGATAATTATCCCTATTTAGTCAGATAATGACTAAATAAATACACTCAGACAGACCACAACAGATAATCATCCACTTCCTATGAGACAACACCAAAAATGTTCTTTGTTTAAATTAGCACAGAAACCACTATCTTCAAACCAGTCGGACCAGTCTCAGTCCACATGCAGAGCAAACGCTCACGCCCCAATGTGTGATTCTCTGAAGTTCTCAGTTTTACACAATTATTCACAACTGTTGCATATGAAAGAAACAAGAGAGGGAAATAATATGGAATAAACACGACACATTCACCTTATTAGGATTCAGTGGATGGACTTGTTCATTGCAGCAGCTCTGCTCGTGCACAAGTCTGTGAAATGTTAGGCCCATAAGAACCAACTCGAACTCTGAGGAGCACAGGGACAGGCCTCCTGCTGGTGCACAGAGTCAGGACCAAAGATGGAAAGGCCACATTTCAGATTTATGCAGTCTTCCTGAAAATGTGAGACAGGCTTCCACTCTGACAATGTTGAAATCCAGGTTAGAACAGTCTTATACAAACAAACACGCCTTGCCGAAAGTGTTATATCATACATAACACACATCATTCACTGATTACAGCTTTTGACTATATTCTTCGCTGGTCTCAAAGTAGTTTTTTTCACTGTGTTTGCTGATTTTAGATTTGATACGTACTAAATTTACAATGATGAGCCACAGAAGCATGTTTCGTCTCCTTTAACTCTAGATTAAGACAACCACGCTCTTCAATCAAGCTTGAAACCTCAAAAGCTGATTTATTTTTATCACGAGTGTATATTGATGAGTAAAGCAGTAGATAATTGGACGTTGCTCGGAGTCAATGTGGATAATGACTGGGGGTGAATCAGGGCAGGTGCCTGTGACTTGTAATGGGTGTTGACTGTTATTACCAGAAATCCTCGGGAGCCCGATATAGCCCCTGAAGCATCAAATTAACAGTAAGTTCATTGGTGGGAAACGCAGATCATAGAGCCAGAATTTCCACTTGTTAAATGAGACAGAAACGCTGTAAATTCCACAGTTTTATTACGTATGACAAGATGAGGAAGTGCGGGGTTAGTCAGTGTCACTTTACAAACATCAGAATGTGGCATTAGTGAGAGAGGGGAGGGAGGGGAACAAGGCTTTTCTAGTAATGGCAGACGGAGTCATTCTGTAGAAAAAGTCCCGAGGAAACCATCGACCAGATTTATATCCAAAAAAATACAAAGCGGAACAAGGGAATTTACCTTCACTCTTTTTAACGTACTGTGATTATTATTTCTGTATATTATATTTTAATGCCTTGTGTGACTGTCTCTATCTTGTTTTGTTCAGCCCTTTGAGTTTGAATTGTGTGTGAGTTGTGCTATACAAATAAACTTGTCTTGCCTTGCCTTACAGGGATAAACATTTTTAGGACAAACGTGAGCGGTCGGGTGCTTTTTAAAGATCCGTCGGAAAATAATGTGGAAAACTTGCTCTATAATGAAGACAAAACTCTACCCCATGTCCCTATAGGAATAAAGAATTTTTATTTTAATTCACAGGGCGTATGATCATTTCCTCTTTGTTTTCAGGATTTATATTTGGTTAATTTAAACAAGCTGTATGTTTAATTGTTTTCATATCACTGCGTGGCCATGGCATATTGAATAATTTGAGCAACAAAAACTGAAATAAATGAAAGCAAGATAACTATAACGCTGTGGAACTAAAGCTTCTGTAATGTTCCAGTCAATTCAATGTTTTTTTGTATTGCCCTAAATCGCAACCACAGTCTGTTTACCACAACAGTTTATCAAGTTGTTGTGTTAGTATTATATAGCAATATGGCCTACGTGCAGGACTGTACAAGGACTCTGATTATTTTGACTATGATGTGACTGTCTCTGTGTGACACGTACGTCTTTCATTCAGACAGAAGACATGTTTTATTGTCAATGGTAGAGACAGCACGAACAACAGAATGCAAGTGTATTATACAGAGCGGAGGCATGGAGACCTCCAATCAGCAGCTGCCACAGTAAGTAAGTAAGTAAGTAAGTTTTTATTTATATACCGCCTTTTCACTGCAGATCTGAGTCTCAAAGCGGTTTACAATTGTAACAGTGCCATGTAGCTTGGCCTTCAGATAGACAAAACAAGGGAAAAGTACTGGCTTCTGCACATTGATAGAATGATGAGTTTAACTTTAACAAAAGTTGCTTAAAAGTGTCATGAAATCTCACATTCACAGAGACAGTCACATCATAGTCAAAATAATCAGAGTCCTTGTACAGTCCTGCACGTAGGCCATATTGCTATCTAATACTAACAGTTGATTCACCAACAACGAATCAGAGAATCAAACAGTTCGAACAGAGGAAAGGGAAAATGAATTAACAAACACATACTGTAGAAGCCATTGGTCCATAGGGAGCGGGATGACCAATGTCTATCAATGTTATTAAATGGGCAAAAATGTTCTTGAATGTCCCGGATCATCACTGTCCTTAGACCCTCTTGCAACGGTATGGACCAACTCTAAGCAATAAAAATAAAAACAGTGGGTCAAAACAAATAACAGCTGTGTGTCTGTACAAACATGTGACAAGTGATGTAGTGCCTAAGAAAGATTACATGTTTAGTTTGAAGATCTGTTTTTATTATCTGGAGGCGCCATTGCTCCCACGCCCACTGTTCTCACATTGTTTATTGGTTTTAATTTCATTCCTGAACATTATTGACCCACGAGGAAATGCTGTGGCTGATGCTAAAGCATTTCTTTTTTAGACCGATTTTTTTGAAAGGTTGCAAATGAGCGAGGTTGAGGCTAATGCTAAAAATGCCTGAATGGATCTTGGTGGGAGTATTGGTGTGTGTGTGCTCATGTTTTTATTGTATGAATGAGGGGGTTGGAGCCCATAAAATAAGCATTTGCTTTCATCCAACCCCTTTTCAAAATCTTGTTTGTTTTGTTATGCTGTATGAAAACTATAAGTTTGAGATATACACTTACTTACTCACGATATATGCTCAAGAAGAGAAGGAGAGGAAAACTTAAAATTTGTGCCCACAATCTTGATACACAAATGACAAAAGACAGTAAGTAATTGCTCTTTTAGGCATTATTTCATTTGTACTTCATTTGGATTAAAGGCCATTACACCAGGGGTCTCCTATGGCTTTTTCAGTCAGAGAGCTACTTTTTAGACAGAAGAGTCGGAGAGCTACTTCTTTTTGCAGTCTTAATAGAAACCTATGCAATAATTACGTGTAACACATGTAAAATATACCATAATACTGTATCAGAATCAGAATCAATTTATTTACCATTTGCAGAAAAAAACTACTTTGGAATACAAACAGGAGACACCGGGGGCACCAACACAACAAAGCACAAACACAAACAGAATAAAAATAGCGAGACACAGTGAGGCACATATACAACTCTTAAAAGCATTATTAAGACACAACGATGGAGCTAAAAGAGAAGCAGATCAGAGTAACACAAACTAGGAAATTACTTTGGTTCTCGGTGCAAACAAGTTAAATCAGAATAAAAAGCAGAAGGCATGCATGAATAAAAATCTGCATAAATTACTCTATATTCATACTTACAATTGATACAGTATGTGATGCCCTAAAATGTATTCTTTCAAGATCATGTGGTAAAATCGAAATCCTTTGAGGAGCAACTTGAAAGGGGCTGTAGAGCTACCGGTAGCTCCTGTGTTACTGGTTGGAGACCCCTGCCTTACACTATAGAACTTGGTAATGTATGTAATTTTTATTTTTGCTTCAACTGGAACATGCATAATAAAAGCTATTTTTGTTTCAATGTTGTGTACATGACGTGATGAACATACTGTAACTAATGTCTGTGATCGACACAATAAAAAAAATAAAGAACCATCTGCACAACTGGCCACTTACTGGACGCTCCTCTCTGAGCTCTCTGTACATTGAGCAGGTCTACGTTTGTACTATATCTGGTCTACATTTGAAAAGGAGGCGTGATTCTCGGGGTAAAGTGCTGGAACAAACAAGAAGGATGCAGCTGCCTTCAATTTCCTGCTCATGTTGTTCCCATCACTGCTCTGATGCTGTGGAGCTGGAGCCTGAGCGTGAAGCAGCCCGGTGCACTAGTGTCCCATCAGCAACACTAGGCACAGGGACTAGGCTGGGA